TGACTCTGTAAACTGCTTAGAGAGGGCTGTGAAGCTCTGTGAAGCGGTATATAAGTCTAAGTGCTATTGCTACTGCTATTATAATTTTGGAGATTAAAGGGAAAAAAATATTGGTAAAAAATACGAACTGTGCTGTTCATCTTTCTAGGTCAGGGGTCAGCAACCTGCGGCTCTGGAGCCACATGTGGCTCTTTCACCCCTCTGCTGCGGCTCCCTGTCACTCAAAATATGCATCGCACCCACCGGCACACGATGTATTGAGCTTTTCAACCCCCGATAGACCAACCATGGCTAAATGCAAGACAGGAAAAGTTTCAGAAGAAAACAGAATGTTTAATCCAACGACGTATGCTAGTTTTGGGGCCACTCAAGAAATAGTCAGGCACGGGAAAGGCTTTTGTGGCTCCCGGTGTTTTCTTTTCTGTGGAAAACGGGTCCAAATGGCTCTTTGAGTGTTTAAGGTTGCAGACTCCTGTTCTAGGTGGTCCAGTTAGGAAGCAAGGCACTTCTACTTTATTGCTGAAGGATATAGTAGAAGAACTTTGAAAGCCTTCCAGAGTTACCCTCTGCCACCTTTAATATTGTAACAAATCAAAGCAGGTTATTTTGAGTCTCTTTCTGGTGTCCCCACCTTTTCCAGGCCTGAGCTGTTATTTACTCTCCTCTCTATTTATCGCTTCATGGTTCTGCTAATAGTTCTTGCATCCCTTCATCAGCATCATCTCTCTAATCCTCTAGCAGGCTTAGTTCCTCGTGATGCTTCGTGTCCTTTGCTTGTCAACAGCAAAGAATTTGTGTGCATTGCTTCGTTTAAGGATAGATATATTCCCTATTTTTTTGTAATCTGACTTGGCGTTCGCTGAAGTACAAGCCAGGCAAAACTATGACAAGGTCAACCAAGTCCAACTCTTCCCAACAGATGGCAGTTCTAGGAGTACCTACGCTCACTATAGTAGCTGCAATGGGAAGTAGGAGTGTCCCTGGGGAACAGAAGGAAGAGCTACAACCAAGGGAAGACCAGAAATTTAAGCCGGGGCAGAAATCTAAATTGGCAAAAGCTTCTCAGATATAGAATAGAATAACAGAGTTGGAAAGGACCTTAGAGGTCTTCTAGTCCAACCCCTTGCTTAGGCAGGAAACTATACACCACTTCAGACAAATGGTTATCCAATCTCTTCTTAAAAACTTCCAGTGTTGGAGCATTCACAACTTCTGGAGGCAAATTGTTCCATTGGTTAATTGTTCTCACTGTCAGGAAATTTTTCCTTAGTTCTAGGTTGCTTCTCTCCTTGATTAGTTTCCACCCATTGCTTCTTGTCCTGCCTTCCATTATCTCCAGGACTGCCAAAAAGAAGAGGGAATCAAGCTATTCTCCAAAGCACCTGAGGGCAGAACAAGAAGCAATGGGTGGAAACTAATCAAGGAGAGAAGCAACCTAGAACTAAGGAGAAATTTCCAGACAGTCAGAACAATTAACCAGTGCAACAACTTGCCTCCAGAAGTTGTGAATGCTCCAACACTGAAAGCTTTTAAGAAGAGACTGGATGACTATTTGTCTGAAGTGGTGTAGGGTTTCTTGCCTGAGCAGGGGGTTGGACTAGAAGACCTCCAAGGGCCCTTCCAACTCTGCTATTCTATTCTGTTCTGTTCTGTTCTGTTCTGTTCTGTTCTATTGTATTCCTATTCCTATTCTATTCCTATTCCTATTCCTATTCCTATTCCTATTCCTATTCCTATTCTATTCTATTCTATTCTATTCTATTCTATTCTATTCTATTCTCATTCCATTCCATTCCATTCTATTCTATATGTAAAGAGATGTCATTCAAAAACTATAAATATTGTCCAGTTCAACATTATGGTCTTTTAAAAAAATATATTATTATTAATTTTTCTTGGCTCCTGAGAAAACCATCTTCAAATGGTAGATGCATACACATCACACTCAATATGCAGATTGGGATCAGATCAAATGGCAGCGGAGTGCATGCTACTATAAAAATTACTTGGGAACAATAGTTTGCAATCTTTATGTAAATTCCCTTCTCTACCTCGTCTCCTCTGTAGTGTGACAACCAGGCGCCCGTCCTTCCTCCCCTCTCCTCCCCTCCTGCCTCTCTCTCACCCTCTCACACTCATATATACACACACACGTGCATCTTTCCACCACCGTGTTAATAAAGATTACTAACTAACGATCAAAATTCGGCCTGGCATGATTTTGCTGAGTTGAATAGATCTAGAAGTATCCTCCTGTCAAATGTCATAATTTGGGAGGACGGGAGAGAAAATGTCACGCAACACCCATGAGACTGAATGCTTTAAAGTCGATTGAATGAATTTCATTAATTTTAAATAGAGGCAGGGGGAAAAAAAAAATAATAATTGCAAAACGCCTCGGGCACGCTTTTATTGCTCCTGCTTCAACTTTCGATTTTCTTTTTATCTCAGCCTCTTGGCCCCGAATCCTTCACAGCTTCATTAAGAGTCGCATTAGCGAGCTGACAGAGATGGCCACCTCTGTCACGGCAGCCACACACAAAAAGGCCATTACAGCCCGGCAACACAAAACGCGGCCACGAACAAACAGGCGTTGAAATGGATTTTGACAAAGTGACACACACACACACACAAGAGTCCGGCTTCAAAGAGCAAAAATGCCCTGAGTTGAAATAGGAAGACCCACAAATGGGGGGGATTTTTTTTTTCTTGTCTTGAACGTGACCGAGACGACAGAATCCTGTCCTTTGGGATGTTGTGGGGTTTTTTTATTTTTTGCACCAACGTTGACGTTGCTTCTTGCAGGCTACAAGGAGAAGCTGCGTTCTGTCTTACGGGACTTTCGGATCACTCAAAGGTCACCCAGATGAAAGAGCATGTCTGGAGAAAGCGTGAAGGTCATTTATAGAAGGCGTGTTTGGGTTAAGCTTTGGGAATCGCCTGAACTGGTTCCTGCAGGGGGGGCGGTTGGCAAAATTTTGGAAGTGTTTGCCCGTGCCTCTTTCCTAGGACTTTTTTTTTTTTTTGCCTAAGGTGGGACTAGAACTCCCTGTCTCCTGGTGATTGGGCCAAGGTCACCCAGCTGGCTTTCATGCCTAAGGCAGGACACGAACTCACCATCTCCTGGTGATTGGCCCAAATTCACCCAGCTGGCTTCAAATGCCTAAGACGGGACTAGAACTCACCCTCTCCTGGTGATTAGCTCAAGGTCACCCAACCGGCTTTAATCCTAAAGTGGGACTAGAACTCCCAGTCTCCTAGTGATTGGCTCAAGGTCACCCAGCTAGCTTTCATGCCTAAAACGGGACTAGAACTCACCCTCTCCTGGTGATTAGCTCAAGGTCACCCAACCGGCTTTTTTGCCTAAGGTGGGACTAGAACTCCCAGTCTCCTGGTGATTAGTCAAGGTCACCCAACGGCTTTAATCCTAAAGTGGGACTAGAACTCCCAGTCTCCTAGTGATTGGCTCAAGGTCACCCAGCTAGCTTTCATGCCTAAGCCGGGACTAGAACTCACCCTCTCCTGGTGATTAGCTCAAGGTCACCCACCGGCATTTTTTGCCTAAGGTGGGACTAGAACTCCCAGTCTCCTGGTGATTGGCCCAACTGGCTTTCATGGCTAAGGCAGGTCTCGAACTCACCATCTCCCGGTGATTGGTCCAAATTCACCCAGCTGGTGAATTTGATGCCTCAGATGGGACTAGAACTCATGGCCTCCTGCTTTCTAGCCTGATGCCTTAACCACTAGACCAAACTCTCTCTCTCTCTCTCTCTCTCTCTCTCTCTCTCTACTCTCTCTCTCTCTCTCTCTCTCTCTCTCTCTCTCTCTCTCACTCTCTCTCTCTCTCTCTCTCTCTCTCTCTGACATAATGTCAAGGGTTATTTTGATGGCAACAAAGAGCAAACTGCTTTCTAAAAGCTTGCGATTATTACATCCAAGGACAAGATTTCTTGCAGTTTGAAACCCCTCCAGGCCTCGTTCTTAAAATGCGACTCCCATCTCATTGCATTTTCTTTCCTTTCGCTGACCACCTTGTCTTTTTCTTTTTTCTTTTTTTCCCCCTCCGGTGCGTAGTTGTTTTCTCTGCGATCTGCCAGGGAGGTGGGAGCGGGGACCACACCAGGAGCAAAATCTGAGATGCAGAATCAAAGTCATCCTTTCAAGCTCTTACTTTTCACTGGGTTGCAACCATTGGGGTTCAAAGATGCAGCTGGCCGAAGAACACAAATGCACGCTTGTTCTGAAAGCTGGCAAAAACACCAGATCCATCTAAGGTTGATTACATAAATGCTTCAGTTCAGGCCCCTCGGATGGCAGAAGCCTTAGAAAGTAACATTTACGCTACGAAAATTAAACCCGCAGTATACTTTCAAGAGGGACGCGGTGGCTCAGTGGCTAAGATGCTGAGATTGTCGATCAAAAGGTCGGAAGTTCAACGGTTCGAATCGTGGGGTGAGCCTCCCGTGACTTGTCCCAGCTTCTGCCAACCTAGCAGTTTGAAAGCACGTAAAAAAAATGCAAGTAGAAAAATAGGGACCACCTTTGGTGGGAAGGGAACAGCGTTCCATGTGCCTTTGGCATTGAGTCATGCTGGCCACATGACCACGGAGATGTCTTCGGACAACGCTGGCTCTTCGGCTTTGAAACGGAGATGAGCACTGCCCCCTAGAGTCAGGAACGACTAGCACATATGTGCGAGGGCAACCTTTACCTTTACCTTATACTTTCAAGCCTAGAGAAGGCTCTGTCTTTGAGTCTGTTCAGAATATACCAGTGGCTCATTTTTAATTCCAAGGGATCGATCAATGAATTGTGTTATTAGCTATTATTGGAGATGCACAATCGGTCCCTGAAAGTCTTGGGACCTGATCTCGGGAGACCACAAAAGTGATATTATTAACCCAACAGAAAGGGGGCAATGATGAATGACAGGCTTGGAAAGCAATCATGTTAACTGTGTTTAATTTGAATTCTAGGTCAGCGATGACGACATGAAATTTAAGGCAGTGCTGGTGGTTTTCCTTGACTTTATCCTGCCTGTTTGACATAGGAGACCCTGGAAAGATTACTGCAAAGTCAAATGAAGTCTTTGGCCAGACAAATATGGTACATATCCAATCACAACAACAACAATTTATTATTACAGTCTTAGACCAGAGACCAGAACAAATAAAAGCACTCAGTATCTATACACTTAAAACTTCTAGTATAAAATAATAAATAACAACTAAAATCTATAATAAAATCCAGTGTCAATTATACATGGTCCGACTATACGATAGTTGCAATCTCTAAATTCCACGCACCCACCTTTCTCTCCCTTGACACCCTGCCAAAGACCTAATTGGCAATTAGTTTTGCAAGGCAACATGGAGCACAGAGTCAAAACAGAGCTTCAGAATTGAAACTGACCAGAATGAACAAAGTTGCTTCCTGCAAAGACTCATGTGCCTTTGCTCCTCCTTTATGTCTTATGGGAGGGGGCAATCATCTCCAAGCCTTACTCCTGAGTCGCCCCTTTTGTCTTAACCGTTCTTGCCTTCTGGAAGCTCTGTGCATGCGCGCACTGGGAACAGGCTCCCCCTGTTCCTCTGCCTCGCTGAAGTCAGACTCTGGAGGCTCCGGAGTCAGCACATAACTCCCAGATGGCCCTGGTCCTCTCTCTGCCTTTGATGCAGAGCCCTCGTCCGAGCCTTCCCCAGACTCCAGGACTGGCCCATGGCCCTCCACAGCCTCCTCATTGTCTGACTCTGCTGCCAGTTCCTCAGGCTGCTGGCGGACCACAACACACCTCTGTGATATTTCGGAAAGTTGAATGGTGCATTAGTGACTTCATAAAGATGCTAAAAGTAGAGATGGGACTTCCAAATTCATCCCGTTGACTCTTTCATAACCATGGCAAAACAGTAACTGTGAGAGGGACCTTGGAGTCTTAGTGGATGATCACTTGAATATGAGCCAGCAGTGTGCAGCAGCAGCCGAAAAAGCTAAGACAATCCTGAGTTGTATAAACAGAAGCATAGAATCAAGATCACGTGTGGTATTAGTACCGCTTTATAAAACCCTAGTAAGTCCACACTTGGAATACTGCAACCAATGTTGGTCACCATACTACAAAAAAGATGCTGAGACTTTGGAAAAAGTTCAGAGAAGAGCAACTAAGAAGATCAAAGGCCTGGAGATTAAAACATATGAAGAGCAGCTACAGGATTTGGGTTGGGCTAGTCTAAAAGAAAAAAGAATTAGGGGTGACATGATAGCAGTACTCCAGGATTTGAGGGGCTGCCACAAAGAAGAGAGGGGTCAAATTGTTCTCCAAAGCACCGGAGGGCAGGACATGAAACAATGGTTGGAAACTAATCAAGGAGCGAAGCAATTTGGAATTAAGGAGAAACTTCCTTACAGTGAGGACAATTAACCAGTGGAATAGTTTGCCTCCAAAAGTTGTGGGCGCTCCATCACTGCAGGTTTTTAAGAAGAGACTAGACAGTCACTTATCTGAAATAGTATAGGTGTCAGGTTTCGAGGTCGTCTCAAATAAATTGCATTTCAAACAAAGTCTTTGAAGAAAATCTCCCATTTATTAAGCACAACATTCTAACTCCGACTCATCGCAGCCAACACTGACTTCCAGACCCAAAAACCTCCCTTTCCATTCCCCACTCCCCTGCACTCATTGGCCATCTTCCACGTCACTCTACCCCTAATCTACTGCTCCAGCTCCAAGGAATTTCCCCCCTCCCACCCCATCTCCTAGGGGATATTATCTCCAGGGAAAATAAGTAGGTGAAAAGTCAAACGTCCCTTTCCAGACGCCTCCGCTTCTCCTTCTTATGTCAGCACTAGAGTAAATGCAGCTTGAAGTGCTGACAATAGGTTCTTTTGCTTGAGCAGGGGGCTGGACTAGAAGACCTCCGAGGTCCCTTCTACTCATTCATTCTATTGGCGATTTCTAAATGTGCAGACTTCAAATTCCCAAAATTCCCCAGCCAGCATATCTACTGCTGAGAATTCTTGGAAATGAAATCCAGTCTTAAGAAAGTTGCCAGTGTTGACGACTATTAAAAAAAGCTTGCCTTGCCAGGAAACTCTTCCTAACCTTGAGTATAAATTTGTTTTCTTACAGCTCAACCCTCTGGAACAACAGAAAATAAATGTGCACCATCAGCGATGTGATAAGTGACACAGCAGGGCACAAGAAGGTCATGGACTGGGAACAGAAAACAAGTGCGGACAAGGCACAGAGTTATAGAAAGTTGATTCTAAAAGTGTTTAAGGTAAGAAAACATAATGGTGGATTGTGCCGTAAATTGAACTCATTTACCAGATGCATGGAAACCTATGGAACTATCTACAACAGAAAAATACACAACAGGGTTGCAAAAGCCACTCCATGGTACCTGAGAGTCGAAACTGCAATTTCAACCATTGTGTTGTTAGACTTTGGGAGGAAAGAATACCAGCTTCCTTGCACAAATTTTGACTATTATGTTGTCTTGAGTTGTAGGAATAGCACTCTCACTTATATCTGACCACCTGAACATCCTTCTCCATCTTCATTAGCTATTCCGTAACTAATAGAAGAGAAATATTTGTAGCTCAGGCAGTGGTGAAATCCAAATTTTTTTGCTACCGGTTCTTGTGGGCGTGGCTTGATGGGCGTGGCAGGGGAAGGACACTGCAAAATCCCCATTCCCACCCCACTCTCAGGGGAAGGATATTGCAAAATCCCTATTCCCACTCCACTCTGGGGCCAGCCAGAGGTGGTATTTGCCGGTTCTCCAAACTACTCAAAATTTCCACTACCGATTTTCCAGAACCTGTCAGAACCTGCTGGATTTCAACCCTGAGTTCAAGGATGAACTACGGGGTCCTTGGTGCTCTCTGAGCTTGCGGATTTTCTTGCAGATACTTCATGACCCAGGTAGGTAACATCATCAGTGCTAGTTGGATCATGAAACATCTGTAAGAAAACAACCAAGCTCTGAGAACACCAGGGACCTCACATCTGGAAAAGGGAGCAATTTGTCACCTGCCATATAGATAGATACACATGATGGTCTATAAAATATGCCAAAGAGCTGTGGTTAGAATGCAGTATTGCAGGCTAATTCTGCTGACTGACAGCTATTCTCACCCGCTCATGGTTGACTTAGCCTTCCATCCTTCCGAGGTCAATAAAATGAGGACCCAGTTTGTTGGTGTGTGTCTGTGTGTCTGTGTGTGTGGGAATAGGCTGACTCTGTAAATCACTTAGAGAGGTCTGTAAAGCACTATGAAGTGGTATATAAGTCTAAGAGCTATTGCTATTGTTAAAGAGGTTGGGTAGATTGCGTTTCAACATCTGTTGTGAACCTAGTCATTATTTTAGGAGATTGGGTGAACTTTGATAGAATGTTAAGCCATTAAGGATTGAGTTGCTTGGACATAGCCTGCTGTACAAACACAACATTCCCCATTCCTTCCTTCCTTCCTTCCTTCCTTCCTTCCTTCCTTCCTTCCTTCCTTCCTTCCTTCCTTCCTTCCTTCCTCCTTCTTTCTTTCTTTCTTTCTTTCTTTCTTTCTCTTTCTTTCATTTTCTTTCTTTCTCTTTCTTTCTTTTTCTTTCTTTCTTTCTTTCATTTTCTTTCTCTCTCTCTCTCTCTCTTTCTTTCTTCTTCTTCCTCCTCCTCCTCCTTTCTTCTTTCTTCTTTCCTAATTTTTTTCATAACCAACTATTGGACATCTTTCCAGGTCATCTGAAAAGCTTCCATTTTGTCTCTCTGCAGGAAATTTTTACATTCCGCATTGCTCCTCTGTATCCCCTTTCTCTATAACTTGTAATAAACCCTCCAAATGAAATTTATTGGGTCAAATGATATGAAATATCTTATTATATCACTAATAACATTTTGGGCTTTCATACAGAATTTTGAATAATATTCTCTCCCCCCCCCCCAAAATACTCAGATAGGAGCCTCTTTGCTTCTGTATACCCTCTAGCAATTTTCATTGATATTCCGATATAATTTATTAAACTTGACGCGCATGAGATCCCATCTTGAAAAAAAGTAGGTTTCCTTTAAACTGAGCTGAGCTGAGCTTGTAAAAGAGCTTGATTTTCTATCCAAATAGTGTTCAAAAGTATTTGAAATATCTAAAAAAAGAAGAAGCATCAATATTACTGTAAACTAATATATTTGTCTACTTGCCCCCTAAATATTTCTACATAAACATATCCTCTCTTTTTCTATGTATGTGTGTGTGTGTGTGTGTTTTACTCAAGTTCTAGAGATAAGCATGATAGATGATAAAATATCCCTTTAGGTAACAATCTGACATTATGAACAATGCATTTCAAATCTTACCAAATGATATGGTCTTAGCCGGCAACATAATAACTGCAAACACAATATCTGATGTGTAAATTGAAGATAGATTTGAAAAGAGAGAAAAAAAAACCGAAAAGGAAACACATGAAAATTAATCATAATCAAAACAATTCCAGCAGTGTGATTGAATGGCTGGGAAAAATCTTCTTTCTCGCCCCTTAATCAAGAGTCAATTGGATCAAATAGTGTCAAGAACAACACGTCAACTATCCACTGCGGTAAATTCCTTGTATATTTGTCCTTCCAGTGTTGTATACTGCAGTTAATCCCTTGGATTACACCTCCAATTTTATGTCTGAGGCTCTTTATTTAGGAGCTGAGGATTTTAGAGGCTGCGTTTTATAATTTTGTTCAGCACCCAGTTATCAGCATCTGGAAAATTGGACTCTGTTACTGTCACAATGCCACCAGACTTATAGTCCACCAACTTCATTCTAAAGAAGAGCCGTGGTGGCGCAGTGGTTAGTGTGCAGTACTGCAGGCTACTTCTGTTGACTGCTGGCTGCCAGCAATTTGGCAGTTCGAATCTCACCAAGCTCAAGGTTGACTCAGCCTTCCATTCTTCCAATGTCAGTAAAACGAGGACCCAGATTGTTGGGGGCAATAGGCTGACTCTGTAAACCGCTTAGAGAGGGCTGTAAAGCACTGTGAAGCGGTATATAAGTCTAAGTGCTATTGCCCACCTTCCTTCCTTCCTTCCTTCCTTCCTCCCTCCCTCCCTCCCTCCCTCCCTCCCTTCCTTCTTTCCTTCCTTCCCAGTGATTAGAATGCAGTATTGCAGGCTAACTCTGTCCACTGTCAGGATTTCGATCCTGACTGGCTCAAGGTTGACTCAGCCTTCCATCCTTCCAAGGTGGGTAAAACAAGGACCCAGATTATTGGGGGCAAGATGCTGATTCTCTAAACTGCTTAGAGAGGGCTATAAAAGCACTGTGAAGTGGTATATGTAGGTCTAAGCACTATTGCTATTCTAAGAGAGATATTAATATACACATCACTCCTCCCAATTTCTTTAACAACCCTGGGTGTTAGGCTGGGATGAGAGAAACCTCTGATGAATTTCCATGGATGGATTAATCCATTACATTTAACCTTGTTATCTCCACCTCTTTTAGAATTTTCTATTAGAAATGGGTAAGAGAACCTGCCCAAAGCAATTGTAGTTACATCTTGAATTCATGGTGAGGGACTTGGGGAGGTTGGGGGGGGCTTCTTTGTGGTCCAGAAAGGGTTGGATAAGTAGAACTTGTGCTGGAGGATATTTCCAAAAAAGGTCCACCCAGATAGAAGAAAATAGAAAGAAGACAGAGCCATGGTGGTGCAGTGGTTAGAGTGCAGTATTGCAGGCTAACTCTGTCCACTGCCAACAGTTCGATCCTGACCACCTCAAGGTTGACTCAGTCTTCTGAGGTTGTTAAAATGAGGACCCAGATTGTTGGGGGAAAATATGCTGACTCTGTAAACCGTTTCGAGAGGGCTGTAAAGCACTATGCCATTGTATATAAGTCTAAGTGCTATTGCTACTCCTTCCCTCCTTCCCTCCCTCTCTCCCTCTCTCCCTCCCTTCCTCTCTTATTCCCCTTCTCACTCTCCTTCCTGGTGGCGCAGTGGTTAGAATGAAGTATTGCAGGCAAATTCTGCCCACTGACAGCAGTTCGATCCTGACCGGCTCAAGGTTAACTCAACCTTCCATTCTTCCGAGGTTGGTAAAATTGAGGATCTAGATTGTTGGAGTCAATACGCTGACTTTATAAACTGCTTAGAGAAGGCTGGAAAGCACTATGAAGCGGTATATAAGTCTAAGCGCTGTTGCTATGGCTGTTGCTAAAACGTTTTCATTGCCAAACACCTGCAGCGACCTTATTCTTGATTCTAAACATTACTCTGAAATCCTGCATGACTGGTAGTATTTCCTCATCGTAGGATTTCCATGATGCTAATAATAAACGGCAACCAAGACGCAGGTGTTTATGCTCCTCTCCTCTACTCCAGATCTTTAGCAATCTAATTAGCAATCACCGTGGCATGAGAACTCAATTTTAGCTCACCTGAAAAGTCAACTTGGCTAGGAATGTTTGAAGATGAAACGGCTTGAATAACCGTGGCACGCCAATCTAGTAATTATTTTATTTAGGAGCACAACGGAGGTTAAATTGTCTACCAAAGGAAGGGAAGATATGGAGGCTAGGAACTGAAGCACCTTTGTTTGGTCCTGACTTGTACCAGAAGGGAGCTATTTTCCGCTTCTTTGGAAGCACCAAAAAGAGACACAACGCTACCTTCGTCCTGTTTTCTGCATCACACTCAGCATCCTAAATGTTCAGCTCATCCAGGTTCTGCCCTTTTGTTTCATTGTTAAGGGTGCAAGTAAGGCTAACTCAATTAAACAGCTCATCCACCTGGAACCCACACTGTATTTCGGACGTTAATATGATTGAGCGGGTTCAGAGCAGTGGTGAAATGCACTTACCTACTGGTTTAGGAGTGTGAGCGCGCGCACCTCTTCTGCTCATGCGTAAAGCCTTTTGCGCATATGCAGAGGTTCAAAAATGGGACATAATGATGTCCCGGCGGGTAGGTGGAGCCTCCCGCCATCGGCGCTACCGGTTCGTGCGAGCCGGATAGATCCGCTGGATTTCACCACTGGTTCAGAGGTTAGGGGTCAGGGGTTAGGGTGAGGGTGAGGGTGAGAGTGGTGTGAGGGTTAGGGTTAGGGTTAGGGTTAGGGTTGGGTTAGGAGTTAGGGGTTAGGGGTTAAGGGTTAGGGGTTAGGGGTTAGGGGTTAGGGGTTAGGGGTTAGGGGTTAGGGTGAGGGTGAGGGTGAGAGTGGTGTGAGGGTTAGGGTTAGGGTTAGGGTTAGGGTTGGGTTAGGAGTTAGGGGTTAGGGGTTAGGGGTTAGGGGTTAAGGGTTAGGGGTTAGGGGTTAGGGGTTAGGGGTGAGGGTGAGGGTGAGGGTGAGAGTGGTGTGAGGGTTAGGGTTAGGGTTGGGTTGGGTTAGGAGTTAGGGGTTAGGGGTAAGGGGTTAGGAGTTAGGGGTTAGGGGTTAGGGGTTAGGGGTTAGGGGTTAGGGGTGAGGGGTGAGGGGTGAGGGGTGAGGGTGAGGGTGAGGGTGAGGGTGAGGGTAAGGGTGAGAGTGGTGTGAGGGTTAGGGTTAGGGTTAGGGTTAGGGTTGGGTTGGGTTGGGTTGGGTTGGTTTGGGTTAGGAGTTAGGGGTTAGGGGTTAGGGGTTGGGGTTAGGGGTTAGGGGTTAAGGGTTAGGGGTGAGGGGTGAGGATGAGGGTGAGGGTGAGAGTGGTGTGAGGGTTAGGGTTGTCCATGGGGTCACGATGGGTCAGACATGACTTCGCAACTAACAACAACATTCTGTTCTATTCTAGATCAGTGAGGAAGGAACATCAGCAGAGGAAAAGGCGCTCAAATCTTCAGCACGATTCAAGCTGATTTAAGGAGCCGTATCCAGCTGATTCGATTTTTTTTCTTTTCTGATCACAAACGTCTATTTGGACATCCCAAAGATGTTTGCAATTCTGCCTGAAAAAGCTGTCCTTCTTCTCCCTGCGCCCCCCCCTCCCTCCCAATCACCTTATCAGCGTGCCGATGAAATGTTGACCTCATGCATATTCATTCCGCCAGGCAATTTTAGTTAACCAAATATCAGAGAGTTTATTCGCACCGCAATCTCACCGTTCCGGGGGCCGCATCTGCTTCACGAGACAGTTGTGAGAACGCCATGAATGAAAGTGTACAAAATTGGACTAACCTTGCCTGCCCTGTAACTCTCCATAAGAAGATTTTCCTGCCCGTCTTCAAAGCACACGATTTGCATATTTATTGCCTTCTTTATTTGTGTTTCTCACCTTTATTTACCACTCTGCCTATTCTGTTTCTGCCTTATCATAAATGTTCCTTAAGCACAGTTGCTTCATGCCCAGATGAAGGGCACGGAACGAATTTCACACTGTTTTCCTTGTCAGCATTTCAGAGGCAGTCGTACAGATCTGTACTTCTAAGGGGGTCGGCTGCCTTCATTCTCTGTATTGCTTTTTTCCCTCCCTCTCTTTCCTTTGGCTTTTGTTTGTTTTGCTTTGTGGTTGACCTTCTGCAGCTTTGTGCTTTCAAGCAGGAAAAAAGTCCAAACGCGGAAGAAGGGAATGGAGTTAAGAAGGGAATTCCAGGGATCCCAAACTTCCTAATGATAAACCATCGTAGCCTTTAATGAAAGGGTGTTCACTTCTCTGCTGGGGCAGCAGATCCAAAAAAAGCCTGTGGCAAAGAGAGAGCGGGAATTACTAGAAGACAGGATAGGAAAGCAAATAGTCTTGCTGGTTGGCATTTCATAATGGCATAATGGGCCAGAAACAGGTAGAAATGGGCCATCCTGGACTTTAAATATGGAGTCAACTGCAACGTCCTTGACTAGTATTTAGCCTCTCCTCTCCTCTCCCCTCCTCTCCCTCCTCTTCTCTCCTTTCCTCTCCTCTCCTTTCCTCTCCCCTCCTCTCCAGTCCTCCAATCCCCCCTCCTCTCCTCTCCTCTCCTCTCCTTTCCTCTCCTCTCCCCTCCTCTCCTCTCCTTTCCTCTCCTTTCTTCTCCTCTCCCCTCCTCTCCAGTCCCCCCTCCTCTTCTCTCCTCTCCCTCCTCTCCTCTCCTTTCCTCTCCTTTCTTCTCCTCTACCCTCCTCTCCAGTCCCCCAGTCCCCCCTCCTCTCCTCGCCTCTCCTCTCCCTCCTCTCCTCTCCTCTCCTCTCCTCTCCTCTCCTTTCCTCTCCTCTCCTCTCCAGTCCTCTCTCCTCTCCACTCTTCTCCCCGCCTCTCCCCCCAGTCTCCTCTCCTCTCCTGCCAAGGTGGTTGAGTAATTATATTAAATAATTGTATTTAAATAATACAAGCAACATGGTTATAGTAATAAGTGGGAGGAGATGGGTGATAGGAACAATGACAAGATCAATAGTAGTGCAGACTTAGTAAATAGTTTGACAGTGTTGAGGGAATTATTTGTTTAGCAGAGTGATGGCATTCGGGGAAAAACTGTCCTTGTGTCTAGTTGTTCTGGTGTGCAGTGCTCTATAGCGTCGTTTTGAGGGTAGGACTGTGCATAAATATTATTGTGTATACATATTGTGATAATTTTTGTGTGCTGCAACAATTATCTCCCTCACCTTCATGGCTCCCACTCCACCGAGAGCTGCCATCTCCGGTCTACATTATTTCTTCCAACGTTGAGATCGTATGATTTTATCTTGACGTCTGGGAGATGCCATTAAGGCGCATTAAAAGTGGTGGGATTTGAAAGGTGGAAAATAAGCTTTTCCTTATCAGCATGAACATCCCGATGATGCTCAGCTTTTAGAAGTTTATAGATGTCCACCCCTGAGGCTTCCTGAAGTTTGCTCCCCCAGCTTTGGATGCAGAGAAATCCCATGTCAGCAGACAATCCTTCTGCTTTTTTTTTTTTTTTTTAAAAACCTTTCCATTTCGTAATTACATTCTCCATTAGATAAGCTGAATGCTACTTGGGCTTAGAATTTGCTTAGCATAAACTCAAAGGATTTCCTTTTCTTTCTCCAGAATGAATAAGCCATTGCGGAAATGATTTTCCTTTTTTCTCCTTTTTTTTAAAAAAACCAATCTTCCAGTAAGTCCTACTTTTGTACTATAACCTTAGATGGGCTCAAAAACAACTTTATATAGGCACTTCCTGAGACACGAAGATAAAAATTGACCTGAAATATACAATTTCTTTGTTAAGTAGATCCATCCATTCTGGAAAGGATGCAGCATTTCACAAATGTAAAAAGAACAAGGGGCTTGTAAGAGTTTATGCTGAGCAGTTCTACGTTGCCCACTGTGATTGTTAGATCTGAAGAAAAAAGCTGAGCTGTGTGTTTTTTTGTTTTTTTCCAAGGCCACCTTGGGTTGGGAAAATATTTTTAAAGCTGGAATGTGGGAGAAAAATAGCAGTAAGATGTGCTGATGTATGTGATGCGCAAGGCACATATTTTAGTAAGCAGAACATCACTTGATTTAAAGAACATTTAGAATGGAATGGAATGGAAGGGAAGGGAAGGGAAGGGAAGAGAAGAGAAGAGAAGAGAAGAGAAGAGAAGAGAAGAGAAGAGAAGAGAAGAGAAGAGAAGAGAAGAGAAGAGAAACAGAGTTGGAAGGGATCTTGGAGGTCTTCTAGTCCAACCCTCTGCTTAGGCAGGAAACTATACACCACTTCAGACAAATGGTTATCCAGTCTCTTCTTAAAAGCTTCCAGTGTTGGAGCATTCACAACTTCTGGAGGCAAGTCGTTCCACTGGTTAATTGTTCTCACTGTCAGGAAATTTCTCCTTAGTTCTAGGCTGCTTCTCTCCTTGATTAGTTTCCACCCGTTGCTTCTTGTCCTGCCCTCGGGTGCTTTGGAGAATAGCTTGACTCCCTCTTCTTTGTGGCAGCCCCTGAGATATTGGAAGACTGCTATCATGTCTCCCCAGTCCTTCTTTTCATCAAACTAGACATACCCAGTTCCTGCAACCGTTCTTCATATGTTTTAGCCTCCAGTCCCCTAATTATTTCTGTTGCTCTTCTCTGCACTTTTGAGGAACACCACTGTTGCAAATTCTGAAAGAAGCCAACATAATCTCTTGGATCAGGAATTGGGTTCTACCTTTTCCCAATAGGCCACATTGTGAGACAAAAGAGAGGAATGTAGGTTCCAGGCAACTGTGTAAGGATGTTGTTAAAGGGTATTTTGTTGTTAGTTACCAAACATAAAATCTGAAGAACAGAAAAAGCCAATGAAACTTTCAAGTCCAACTCTGCTCTGTGTGGAGCTCTAATTTAAAGCATAATGTGTCTTCATTATGTCGTTCCTGACTCTAGGGGGCGGTGCTCATCTCCGTTTCAAAGCCGAAGAGCCAGCGCTGTCTGAAGACATCTCCGTGGTCATATGGCCGGCATGACTAAACGCCAAAGGTGCACGGAACGCTGTTCCCTTCCCACCAAAGGTGGTCCCTATTTTTCTACTTGCATTTTTTACGTGCTTTCGAACTGCTAGGTTGGCAGAAGCTGGGACAAGGAACGGGAGCTCACCCCGTTAGGCGGCACTAGGGATTCGAACCGCTGAACTGCTGACCTTTCGATCGACAAGCTCAGCGTCTTAGCCACTGAGCCACGCCTGGAGACACCCAAAAAGGGGAAGTCAACAGCATTCTCATAATTGATTCCATGGACAAATTTCTCTTTCGTGAAGGATCTTGGCTAGTCCTCTACAAGAAGAGGAAGAATGTGAGAATTTCTAACAAGTAGGAAATCAGCTTGTGCGTAAGCCCTGAAAAAAGGAGATGACTTCAAGAACTATTAGAGAGGCATCACAGCTGAGTCAGAATTTGGGAACTGTCCAACGATCTCAAGGGATAAGTATTGTTTTCTCATTCCCATGACCTTTCTTGGCTTGTTTCAGAATCCTTCCCCCCACCCCACCCTCCGGACAATTCAGGGATAGTTCTATGATGACATATCATAAGCATTGGACAGTTGGATAAGTAGATTTGATAATGGCCCCTTCTATCCTGATCTGTGACACCATCCCTAATGATTAATAATCTCTCTCTCTCTCTCTCTTCTTTCTTTCTTTTCTTTCTTTCTTTCTTTCTTTCTTTCTTTCTTTTCCTCCTTCCTTCTTCCTTCCTTCCTCCTCCCTTCCCTCCCTCCCTCTTTCTGTCTGTCTGTCTGTCTTTCTTTTCTTTCTTTCTTTCTTTTCTTTTTCTTTCTTTCCTTCTTTCTTCCTGCTTTCCTTCCTTCCTTCCTCCCTCTTTCTGTCTTTCTCATTTCTGTCTTTCTGTCTTTCTTTCTTCCTTCCTTCCTTCCTTCCTTCCTCCTCCCTTCCTCTGTCCTCTGTCCTCTGTCCTCTGTCTCTGTTCTTTCTTTCTTTCTTTCTTTCTTTCTTTCTTTCTTTTCCTTCCTTCCTTCCTTCCTTCCTTCCTTTCTTCCTCCTCCCTTCCTCCTCTTTCTGTCTTTCTGTCTGTCTTTTTTTCTTTCTTTTTCTTTCTTTCTTTTTTTCCATCTCTGTCTCTCTTTCCCCTCCCACTCCCTCCTTCTCCCTCCCTCTCTCTCATTGTAATTTTCAGAAGGAAAAGAAGAAACTCAGAAGCTTCCAGAAGTTTTCACCAAGCTGATGTCTTGTCTATACTGTATTTTTTTTAAAAAACCATCTGTTACTGTGCTGGATAAATTTAGATTGATTGCAAAACAACATTTGCAGTTGGTAAAACATCACCTGATGGGCGATTGGTTATTTTGCATGATGTTTCACGAGCAGTTTACATGGCTGTTTTTTTTTAAGGGTAAAGAAGCTAAATTAGACAGGTGTATGACCATAATCAATTGATATTCAGAGATGCTTAGAAGAAGGAGACAAGGAAGTAAACATAAGGGAGATGAGAGAATGCTGGGAAAATGATTTACTTTTCTCGTCTTAACCGGACATAATAAAGGGGCAGGATTCAAACTAATGAATTTATATTTCCCCACCCTGTCCTTTCTTGAATGAAACATCTAGTGCATCCTGGCTATGTTTAGTCCTTTGATTCATCCTTAGGGGAAAACTTACCTCGATTTGCTTCTTCCCTTATTTTTTTTTTTTTTTTACCCGTTTAGAACAAGAAAAATCAATTACCGAGATAGTTTGGGAGGGATAGCTGGGGAGGCTGCTCTGCTGTTCCAAGTCTTTAAAATTGATTTACAAAAGAGCTTTTATAGCCCTGCGAAAAAGCCTACCATCGCAAATGGTTCACAAAACTTTAACTGTACCGGGAGGGTTTGAATCATT